GAGAGAGAGAGAGAGAGAGAGAGAGAGAGAGAGAGAGAGAGAGAGAGAGAGAGAGAGTGAAGGTGGCACTGCGGAATACGATACCGGGAGAAACGAAGCAAAATAAGCCCGCGACGAAGGCGACGCGATATTCAAGCACCCGCGAGCCTCTTTCAAGATGTCAATTTATTCTTACTGCCCTTTTTTTCGCGGCGATATTGCGCCATCAAATTTTTCCCCGGGAAATCTCGCTCCCGCGATATTCGCACAATTTCGTTCACTTCATCATGAATGCGCACACGCGCAATCGCGCCTCGCGGTAGTACATAAGACGCGACATATTTATGACGCAAGCAACTTCGAAGTAGCTCGTTATGTTGATGAAAGACTAGTCGTCTAAGCAAAGTAGGGCAAGTGTCAGGGTCGGGGTGGAATCTCACGTTTTTTTTCTTAGTCAACATCTTCTTGTGGATCTTCTTGTGGAATTCTCATTCAATTTTTATGCACAGAGCGCACTTGTACGGATTTTATGTGTACACACACATAAGAACAAAGAAAAGATTCTCCAGACTAGCAAGAAATTAGTTATTGTATAAGCAAGAAAAAATTGGTTAAACCTATTGAGATTTTTGTGCCAACAACAAATTGTTTTGTTGACGAAACAAAAATTCAATAAAATTTTTTGTACTGAGCATATAATAGCGAAACTTTTTTCTCCGTGCACGCATTATATGTTACGTTCAGATACATCCAGACGTTACGTGTGTATTAAAAGTAATATTTCTATTTTTAACCATCAATACTCATACGTTGCTTTCCATCTTCGTAATAGCAGTCGCTCCTAAAATTGCTGATTTATCTTTTGTGTACCCTCCGCGGTATTAGCCCATCCGCACATTAGCCTCCTAATCTTCCAATCACCCGCCTCGAAAGGGCCTCGTGCGGTGAATTTAGCAGCGAGCGGCAAAGCATCGCTGATCAATAAAGGAGGCGAGCGATGGTTGTGAGGCTTAATCTCGCGGCCGGCTTTGTGATTGATTCGAACATATTTCCAGCTTACGCGCCAGAGCATGATCGATCTCTCTCAAAATCCCATCCGAGGTAGTCGCAATTCGATCACGTTTGCTTTTTTACGATTACATACAAGCTCTCGAGTAATCGCGCGAGCAGTGAAAATAAATTATTTCTATTATGTTACTTTTTTTGTTTTGTTTTCGTTAAACGGAACGTCTTTCCACGGTTGGTGGCTTTGGGGAAAATCGAATTATGTTGTCTCTCAATGTTTAATAATATTCACGCAACACAATCAAACGCGGAAAATTCGAAACAATTTCCCTGCTCTTATAAACACCGCTTTTTCTTCCCGGAATATTTGTCCATGCTCGAAAGGGCGAATTCGAATCTCGCGCAATATGTCGCATAATTCGGCCATTCCTCATACCACCTCCGGTGCGTTCGAAGGGAACGAGCTTCTCCAACACGTGTAGACACGCGTGTATCGGCTGTGGATAGTCTCATAACCACGCGGGGAAACACAAAGCTCCCTCTCTCCCGCCCTTCCTCTTCTCCCGACACAATCCGGAAACAAAGTCACGAAACGTAAAATCGATTCAGAAGGTATCAGAATCTTATCGTTTGACAGGGGAGCGTGCTTTTCTGGGATTGACGGGTGCTTTTCCGCGAAGTTGCCACATGTCATGTGTACGTTACGTAAACGTCACACGCTTCGAGACAAGCGGGAGAAAGAAATCTTGAAATTTATTTTCTTACACCGGGCGAGTTAGATATACAAACGAAATTTAATACCGTACATACACTTTCGCGGATTCTTTTTCGCGAAATAAGAAAGAGAAGACCGCGCGGAAGAAATTCTCTTCCGTGCCGTTGAGTTTAGAAGCCGGGCCGACGACACAGAACTTTTCGCAAGAGAAAATTAGGCGTGTTCGCACGCCGCCGTTTTACACGGATTCCTCGAAAACTGACGAGTGCTCGACCCGTTTTTTTTCTCTCGGCCCGACAATTTCGCGCCTCAACAAAAGGGACTTTTGTATTCACGAGTATGATAATGTTCCACCTCTACGTACGAGATTTTCTCTCGCATCTGCAGCCGGTGTCGCGCGCTCGTCACGAGAAGAGGGATATGTATATAATCGCGCGAGAGAGCACAGCCAAGAGGAAATACGATGGCCCGAATGCTTCGGTAACGCGCGCCGCACCGGCAGGTAAGCCGGTGGAATATCCGAGAATAATTTTACATATTTCAGCGCCCGCCGCTCACCGATGCGACAAAGAAGCTTACCCGCGTTGTCTATACGCCGCGCGGAACATCGCGCGGTGTATACAATGCAAAAACGAGCTTTTATCGTTGCGTTTTGCTTTGAAAAGATTTACACGGTCGTATATTCGACTCGATATCAGTTGTCTCTTTCTCGTTATCTACCTGTGTCTCTCGTTACAGTCTGATAAGCAGCACTTGACATGTGTTGTTTTCGTTCCGACTGCACGTCTGCTCTCGACGCAGGAGTCGGTTAACAAATCGAATTGCAAGCCTTTTTCGTATGTTTCTTTATTTTTTTAAAATCCGTCATAGTGCAATATAGTGGTGAGAATGTTGGTACACAAAGTAGCCAGCTTTGATCAGTGATGCAAAACAAATGTGAGAGAAGAATATTTTAGATCAAGAAAACGAAAGGAACAGAAATCTGAAGAATGGAGTTTTACGATCAATATACGATTATACTGGAGATGTACGTGCAAATATATTTTTATATTGTCTTGATGATCGAATTAGTATGATAACTACACGAGATGCGAGAAGTCCGATTTGACTTCTGGTCAAGGTGTCTTTTTCGCAATGAGTTTTTTAAACTTTATAGAGAAGAGATAAAATGAGTAATTTATATGTTATTAATATGCAAATTAAACATCTTAGATGCATTTTCTGTGCGTCAATTTACATGTTTAAAAATATATATTTGCACGTATAATACATTCAGCATTTTGACTTGTATATTATGATCATGAAACTATCTACTGGTTGAACACTATCACGAATTTTTGTTAGAAATCTACAAGTTTTGTCAACAAGTATTATTTACCAAAAAATTTGTTTTTTATAAAGTAAAAAAAAGCTTCTCTACTTACGTATCAAGCTTGCCGCCACATTTCGAAACCGAGGTTGAAGCTTCGGGTCGGCAGAGAGCGTCGTTGGCAGTAGCGCGAAGTTGGGGGTTGCAATCGATTGCGATATATCGCAAGCAACCCCGGCGCGCCGGGAGGGTTGATTACGCGTGCGCCCCGGTATCCTTGTGCGGATTGGCCGGCGATGATGTCATGCGGTGCTCCCCTAAGTCTCTGATATCATCTGCGGGATTTTCTGCAGTCCACACCGACCACTCGAGCGGCGTAGCCGCGTCATCGGCGATATTGCACTTGTGCTTGTCATTCACGTCGTGTCGTCCGGTCTGCGCCGGTTGCCGGAGCCCTGAATCCGAGTCCCGCAGCTGCCGCCCACCGGCTAAGGTGAGTCCATTTCTAGTCCCTGTTCTACGATGCTCGTGCTTCCGTACTTCTGGACCGTGCTGACTGCGCGGCAACGACAACGACGACGACGACGACGACGACGTCTCGTCGCACGTACACACGCTGACCTGTCTCTGTGTAAACACACGTTCGCCTTCTGCATCTGATCTGCGTCCTGTCAGCCGCCGAGTTCATTAAACTCTCTGGAATAAACGCGAAGTCCGAGTTTTAAGCTCTGTGATGTTTTTAGCGATTTTACTCTAAAATTTTGCGAGATTTCTTTGTTATTCGTAAAAAAAAAAAACAACATAAAAAAATTGCCGGTTCTTCTGAGAGATTCAGAAAATCTGTTTCGAGATGCGCATCAGAGTAGCGGTCTTGCGGCGAGAGCTACGTTTGTGAACACGTGGGTGGGAATCGAATGACGCAGTTTCATTGAAACAAACTTTTTTTTTTTATTTTCGCCGCGCACTTTGTTATCAATCAATAATAAGTGTTTTTAAGCATACAGATTTTTTAAGCATAAAAGTAAAACTGTTTCGAATATTTTCTTCTCTTTGTTTGATAATATCAAGAAAAACCTTAGTTCTCGTTTAATTGACAAACGCAATTGTGTGATTTGATCTTCAAGACACTGTCTGTTTTTTTTTTTTTTATCTTAAAAAAATCACTTGATAAATCTGACAATTTTATAAGTTTTATAAAAATAACGCGACAGCACTGTGGTAACTACTTACAAATTGAGTAACAATATTTCATCCCCCATTTCTGTCAATCGCGGATTAACACTGATCGCGTACGCGTGAATTTGCGCAGTTCGTCAACGTGCGTCGACACAAAGCCGGGCAATTTTTATTTTTCGAAAACATTGTCAACAACCGGTAAAACAGCGTGCGCGAATGAACGTTGGAGCGCGAGCCGGATCTCTCAAGGGGATAATTGCATCGCCTCCCCATGTCAAGCGCGGAGAGGAAACTACGTCAGGTCGCTGGCCGCGTTTTCTCCGCATCGTCAATGGCATATATGAGTTTGTGCGAATATATAGGACACAACGAATCCGAGAGAGTTGAACTTTTCGCCATAACGCTCGTCGTTTTCGAGCAACTTTAAAGCCTGCAGATTCCACTGTCGACAACTGCAAACTGCTTCCTTTATAGTCCATGGCGTATATAAGTACATATCTGTGATACGTCGGACGAATTGCCGGTATTCCACTCGCGAGGACGCTTCAAAGAGAAATGTTGTGATCTCTTTCCTCTCTCTCTCTCTCTCTCTCTCTCTCTCTCTCGCACTCTCTTTCTCTTTTTTTCCGTTCACAATATGCTCCGATATCGAACATCGCTTTATAAAATTGTCATCTCTCTATATATATCTGGTACACGTAACACAAATAGAATCAATCTCAGATAGCAATGAATCGATATATAGCGAAACGTAACGTTCTCCCGGTGGAACTGTTGCAGTTTAATTTTTGTCATCACCGAAATAAAATTTATATTGTAATAACACACAGATCTGCAACGATGCGACGCGGTAGAATTTCCGTTTATTTCCACCGGAATAAAATGCATATTGTTATAACCGAGATTTCCGACAACGCCGCCGGATGTGACATGTCGTTTCAGAGATTTTTTTTTTTTTTTGTACGTGCACACACGCGTGGCGTGAGCGTTATATTTGTCACGAATTACAATTACAAATAGCTGTAGCAAAATGTTATCATATATTTTTGGACGACAGCGCAATGTTGAAAAATATTAGAATATCACGCGGATGCGCGCTGACTGTGTTTCAGAAACATTGCGCGTAACTCCGCTCCGGAGAGACACATATGTGAGTTACCCTCGGAAACCAAGCGCGTGTGTACGCGAGAGCTTGTTGAGTGGACCGATTGTGTTGAACAAAACTTTCTGTATTCAGAACGAGTTGCTCAGTACTCTCGACATGTTCCATTTCGCAAAAGCATCGAATCTCTAACCCCCTGTTGGGGCGATAACGTCGATACTTGTGTTTCGCGGACCGCAATCTACGTTGTCTGAAATGTGTCACATTTTTTTTTTGAAAAAAACTGCGATCTTGTTTTCCGATTAGGATATTAGGTCGCCGGAGCGGCGACGCTGTGTGGTGTATTTTCTGCAAAATTTTCACGTAAGTCTGTCAGATCAAGTTGTTTCGTGCTCGACATTTATTATCTTTAAGCAGTTGAGACGTTTGCGTGAATAATTTGATTATTACGCGCATCGACCGCGCACAGATAACGCGGACGCGGTGACACGAGTTTGTTTCCAGCAAAACTAGTTTCACGGAACGATATAGCGTTGTTATATATATATATATTTCTTTTGCAACGTATCAATAAGGTATCAACTGCGGACTTCCGTGACAAACGCGATTTTCCAACTTGTTTTCGAGCAAAGTTGTTTTGCCCAAGTGTGTCTGTGTGTATCTTCGCGCGACTTTTCAAAGAAACTTGGGCGACAAAGTGCTATTCTAACGCAATATTGAAAGTGGAATTTCCGTGTTAGCGATTTTTTTACATTATGTAGATTTCTCGTTTAGAGAGAACCGGATGGAGCTGGTAAAAGTAAATTGCGAAAGTCTCTCTTTGTAAATCGGCAAAAAAAAGTTTAGTTTTATACGCAAACTCGGAGTGTCCAGTGCACAGATTTTAATCGCTCGGACATAACTTGGAGTTAGCGACATTAGAACGAAAAATATAAAATACGCTGAAATGTTTTTTTTTTTTTTTTTGGACACCGTTATTAAGCGCCACAATGTGTGCATCGCGCGCAACGTTAATTTCGATATTAAAGTATCGTTCGCGGTTCGACGATTTAAAAGCTAACATAAAATAATCGAATCGTGTGCTGGCGCTGCCAAATAGTTGCAAAATATAAAATATCTACAACATTCTCAAAATGTCACATATTTTCTTTTTATCGTTTTTTTTTTTTTTTTTTATTATAGAATATAGGAATCGATTTATGCTAACGAAGAGATAACAATGGAAATAAAATAGTTCTGATTAATGAATTTGTGAGAGAGAAAACAGATGGCAAAAATGAACATATAGAGTTTAATGGAGAATGTTTAATTCGGAATATTTGTATATAATTTATATTTATGGAACTCATGTATAAATTGTACAAATATAAATTATCGTTACACAAATATATTTGTACTAGTGGCCAATTCGAGGCAATAACCAGATCTTCGGGTCAGTAAACTTTTTTATTTTTGTAGTTTTTAACCAACGTTTCGATCCTTAGTTTCGGTCGTCTTTAGTGTACTACATATGACAATATACAAGTATATTAAACAGAATTAACGCAAGGGGTTAATAACGCATAACCCTAATTACAAGGTTTTTGAAAACTTACAGAAAGGTTCGTAGGTGTAGGAAGAACTCAGTCTATCAGTCGTTTATTGCCGTCAACCATACGCGAAACAAAATCTCAATGACTCGAAAAACACACCGAAAAACATTCTCCGATGTTTACGCATAATGTTGAGACGTCGATAGGGTCGAATGTTTTTCGAAGTAGTAACGTTGTAAAGGATATAGCTCAGTCTGTCGGTGGCCGTCGCGCTAGTTAGTGATTCGGTGTGTTTTTCGAATCATCGAGATTTTGTTTCGCGTCTGGTTGACGGCAATGAGCGACTGATGGACTGAGTTTTTCCTACGAACCTTCCTGTAAGTTTTCAAAACCCTTGTAATTACATGGGGTTATGCGTTATTAACTCCTTGCGTTATTTCTGTTTAATATACTTGTATATTGTCATATATATAGTACACTGAAAAAGACCCAAACTAAGGGTCGAAACGTTTGTTAAAAAAGGTGACAGACCACTTATAAATTTTCGAAGAACGCGATTAATATCAGCTACCTCTGCAATTTCGTTCTCCGGGAAAATGGTTGGCACACTTGACCAAAGAAATTGCCGTTTCGAAGGACATTCGGGTGATCCTGAAATACCCCCCGTGTCACAACTTCCCGTGTTACGCATCGATGGCGAAGGCTTGCGCCATGGGAATAGCGTGACAGTCCTTCGCCTAGCCTAGTACCGGCGACATATTTATAGCGATGTGCGTGGGTGCTCGGGAAGGAGACAGAAGCGACGCGTAGGAAAAAATATACGTTCTTCTCCACGCACACACGCGCGCGCGCGCAATGTGTGTTACCCCGTCGGCTACTCTCTCATCCCTTAGCGCGCCGAAAAAGCGCCCTTGCACTTCGGGAATGCCACTCTCTCTCCTCATCGCGATTCTCGTCGTTTCAACGATCGTGCCCTCTTTTTGTGCGCGCGTTTTGCGGCTTGCTGACAGCCAGTCCCTCTCTTCTAAATTTTGTTCGCGGCCGAGTCGTTTGAGCGTTCGAGCGTTAAAAAATCCGCGTTGTGCTTCTCTCGAAAAAACCGCGCAATGCTTTTCCCGTTTCATTACGCTATTGTCCGTACTCGGTGAACGAACCTGAAGGGGTTCTCTTATATACATATACATATATATACATATATATATATATATATATATATATGTATATATATATATTTTGCACGCAGGGAGCGTGATATGTGAGTTCTGACGCGATGAATGACTCATTCTATTCAACAGTGTTCGGCACAGCAAGTGGTATAAAGCGTTATTTTTGCCGACGTCAGTGGTACGAGAAGTGGATTCGACATATAAGCACGAAAAGAATACAGATCTGTATTTTATCACGACGAAAGAGACGCGATATTCGACGCGACACGGAAAGATATTTGCTTTTACTCGAGAAACTTTCGTCTTTCGAGGTTTTCGCGCATCGTCACTTCCGTACTTTGTGCTGATCATCGTCGAACGCGTGGATTTTACAAGGGCGAGAAATAATTGAGTCATTAGGTCGGTAAATGAGAAACGAAGTGCGGGAGGATCTTAAGCGGTATCTCCTCAATATAACGACCGATTTGACGAAGCAGGAGGACGGAGGAAAGGAAAGACGAGCAGAGTGAGATTGCTA